GAGAGAGCTCTTTCAAATGAATGTATACACTTTGCTAAAAAACAAAATAATTGTTGTAAAATAACTCTAACGCAAAACTCTACGAACTTATGTTACAACCCAATATATACAACAAAGAAGGTGATAAGGACATTGATCATCATACAACGTGGGGAGTTTGAACTTCTCTAAAAAGCGAAAATGCAGAGTATAATCCAGAGTTCCCAGTTCCGCCAACGAACGACAGTCAAGGATGCTGTTGCTTACGCCAGTGAAACGGAGGTCCAGGTGGGTCGAGCGTTTCATGCAATTTTTTGGCATTGATCCGAATACGGTTACTGACTGAATCTGTCGGGACATCAAATAACCATCAGCATGGCCTCCTTTCCATGGCCAGACTTTTTTACGAAAACTTCGGATGAGAAGACGGTTCCCCTCACGTTCCTTGAGCTAGATGGATTCACTGAACTGGCTCGGGAAAGAATGGAAAAGTATTGGCTCCTTCTTCAACGAATCGATGACGAGATGGACGACAAGTAATGAAGGCGATGAAGATGGTTTACTAAGAAATTTATGCCCCGTAATTGTTGCCCTCTACTTCCATTATTGCATTCCAGCGCATTATTTCAGGCCATCTACAAGCGGCATTGGAACGAATGGGAGTGCAAGGTTTTGAATCCGACAGCTTAACCTTTCAAAAAGGATAAAGTTAACTCCCATAAAGCTCCCATTTTGATGAAGTGGAGAGCCAGTTCGATCCTATGAAGTTTGAAAAAGAGCAAATCGAGGAGCCTTGAATTGTGGGCCCCTTCACCCAAGTTTGACAGGATACGAGGTGAAGAGCTTCAAATCGCAATGGACACACCTGTTGTTTCACCCCAAGACGGACCTTTCTGAATAGCTTTCAATGTAAGGGATTGTGAAGCTTTCCCTTTTGGCAATAATCTTTGCCCTTACGCTTCATATAGGAACTATTTCTAATGCTCACAGGGATCGTCGCCAAATGTGCTCGCGGGATTCCGTGCTCTACGGCTATTTTAAGATGCGCAGTTCGCTGGGATACGGTATCGTCATCTCATGCATGGCTGACGTGATTTCACTGTTCGTTGATCGTGTTGTGGCCTTTTCTACTTGTCTTGGAAGGCTTTTGCTTGAATAGCTGTCAGTTGTTCTCGTAGAACATTCAATTAGGAAAGTAAGTGCTCAAGGACAGGAGCTTATCTGGCAGAATTGCCGAGAGCTCTGTGCTTGAATGAGTCGCAACCCTTCGTTCACGCCAGAATGACTCATGGAAAGCCTATTTTGTCGTGAAAATAGAATTGAATAGGTTATCTAGCAATCTGAGCTCCGGCAAACAATTAGACGGGAGTGTTTGGACGTTCCCTGGCTATAAAACTCTATAGCTATCGGATAAAGTGGCAGTATTCAAGGTAGAACTTCTATTTTACAGAGCATAACTGAAGTCGGAAGCTCGATTAAACGCCAATTTCTTGATGTCACGTCTATTTCCTCCTATCGTTCGTTAGTCTTTCTTACCTAGGAAATCCGATAGAGTTTTGGGCTATTTTGTTTTTTCATTGGTTATATACATTTCTGCAGCGTTAACTTAATGAGAACTTAACGTTAAAATCAGAAAGACTAAAGCAAAAAGAGCTTTCGACTCTGGATCGAAGTTGTTGCTGAGTTGTAACTGACAAGATAGGATTCCAGAGTGGACGTAGTCATACAGTATGGGTTAGTAGTGAGTATAACCTTCAATATTCCATATTCCTATTTTCATTCCTCATTATGTTAACTTGCGGTAACTGTTACACCACCAATTCACCACGCCGATACTCATAGAGTATAAACCAACATTAGCTGATTACCTTAAAAAGTAGATCTCGACGGTAGCCATTATTCCTAGGATTCGGCGCCGCAATCATCGGTATCAGAAGGGACTACTTTAAAGACTACTTAATTCGGCTATCGTTATAGACAGGTTTCTAATGAGGTAACCGTGAGTGGGGATAGGTGACTTTGGTTACATTCCTGGTGGTCATTTTCGTGTAAGATAAATGACATCGATACGGTAAAGCCGTAGTGATGACTCAATTAGAGCCCTATAGACGTCTGTTCACACGGTGGAGGATTCTGAATGGGAGCATTGTTCTGAATAAGGCTTTTTTTCTTGTGTAACAATGATTTGTGTGTGACACTTTTGTCAATACTGGCTTTATTTCGCAATATTTCATTGAAGTGTGATTACCTTTCAAGGTGTCTGCAAACCCATGTACCACCTAGTGGTAATCTTGGTAGTTCGACTTGATTTCAACGGTATTCCGGATTTCCTGCATCGTTTGAGACTGGGGACTGTTCAATTTTTTTGCAATTCACGATCATCTGCTTCATAACTTCTGCATATGTACTGCAGAATGAAGTTTCGCTTGGGCTAGTTCTCATAGTTTTCGAATCTCACGGAAAAAGTTTGTTTAATCAACTTCATCTATAGAAATTTTAAAAAGGTAGGGAACATTTGAAATTGTTCAGCGAATTCCAACCGTAACTAGCTAACCAACCAACCATAACTAACTGTAACCACAACTAACCAACCAAACCAACCATAGCTAACCATAACTGACCAAACAAAACTAACTAACCGAACCAACCAAACAACCACAGCCATAACTGACTCAGAGTGGCGATGATCCGCTCTTGCGGTGGTGGGTTGGACCTTAGAAAAAGACGATCGCGTCGGAACGTCAGGCCATTAATAAAGTTTCCACCTAACGACCTCGTCCGCAAGAATCACAATACAATTTGAATTTGTCATTTTGCTGTTTTCCATATTAAAGTCAGACATACTAAGAAGTTCGGTCAACTTTTGTACAGAAATAATGATGTAGGAGTTTGTAAGTTCCCAGTTGTACATGTTTAGGACTCTCTTATGAAGTTTTCTCCATTCTAATCATCGTATTCCATCCAGTTATTTCGTCCATATTTATTATTGTGTTCTCTATTTGATTTCTGATTAGTTTTTCTCTTACAGGCGAGAGAAAGAGGAATTTTCAACACGGGTGTGCATGATCTCGCCGGACCATGTCACTTCCCCCATCCTATCATGAAGGTATGTCAAGTTATTTGCCTGCTATTCCCATCTTTGTAACGATTTTGCAATCTTCTAGAAAGTTTTTGGCTTTTCTTTCCTCAAGGTGTAGTTATTGGCCACTAGATTTCTCGTATTGATTGCTAAACGAATGTAGCGGTACACTAGATGGACCAAAGAAAGCGTAATGTCTGTTGTTTTCAACAGATCTTGTAGATGTTAAATTTGAAACCTGAGTTTCTCATACAATGAGGTGGAGGTTTCACTTTTCCCTCAAACGCTGGTGGTGTCTGGTGCAGATATAAGCCTCTAAGGTAGCCCGATGCCTCTGTTTAGCCTAGGTTAATATATCGTTTCTGGTATGTTATGGGAAAGGGACCGGTTTTGTAAGAAATTTGTAGCACAATGCATAATAATGTGAAGTCTGGTTGGAGAAATTTAATTCCCAGGTCTTTCAGCTTTCAAAGAAAAACAAAATGCTTTCAGGTGTTTCATGTGATGGATGCCTCAGCGGAAATTTCTCCGGAAACAGATATAAATGCCTGCGGTGTTACGACTTTGATTTATGTCAAGCATGCTATCTCAGTAACCGATTTCGTCCGGAAGGGAATGATACCACACTCACCCATTCTGAAGATCATCCTGTGCAAATGATCATGACTCAACGGGATTTCGGTAAGTATTACCGAAATGTTGCATAAGCGAAATTTGTCTGAAAAAGGATAATAAAAATAGGCTGGTTTATCGATTTTCTGAGGTATTGTATGAGTCAGCTTGCAGAAATATTAGTTCGGTGGATCGGTTTGTTGTTGCAGATGCCGTGTACGAAGGCGACAATTCAAAAAATTACGATGCTTGCCGTATCGCTTCTTTTACATGTCCCTATTGTGGTTCAAACGGCTTTAGTCTACGCAGTTTTGCAAGTCATATCCTCAGTATCCACGCAGAACCTCCCGTACCCCGCATAAATGTGGTAGGTCTACTTTTTCACCGTGAAGTTAGTATAATTGGATAATAGTTGTTATTTTGGAGTTGTGTGTAGGTTCTCATTATAATATCTGAGAAGCTGAGATATTTTTTGGAGGCCAAATCAAACAGGCTCCTACCTCTGCTGTAGCATATTTGTCTTTTCTTTTTAAAAACATGCAGAACAATGCTAAACGTTCAGTTCAAAAGCTTCATCATGAGTTGCTCGCTCACCCATTGGAAAGCTTTGTTTTGGTGCTATTATTTTTGCCTGTCCGTACGGTAGAATATTTTGTTGGGAATGACGTGAGACGGGCGCTAAGCAGTTATGTCACCAATGGTGCTCATAGCTGGTACAGGAAAATAGCAATACTCAATCGATTCTCGATTCAACAAGATTTTTATGGCCCTACCTTTCTATTGAGTCATTTCGAAAGTTCTGTGCGCATGTTATGTTGACACAGATTATTACCTTACTCTTTTTCTAAATGTAAATTCATTCAAGATATATTCACTTCAAACGTGGATAACATTTGTCTATCATTCGGGAAACTTTTCGGGATTCTGTAAATGAAACGCACCGAGCTTCGTGGTGAGAGATCAGGCTGTTTGTTGTTTCAGTGTTTGCACACTGCTGACCATTCTCTCGAACTGTCCTCGAAAGTTTCCTGAGTGCCTGAAGCAGAACAGACAGGGCATTACATTAGCAAAATATGCATTCTCGAGAACTAAGGGCGGAACTTCCGAATCCTACCATATAAGGTTTTTAACCTGCATAAAAGGTTTTTTGAAACTGCTTTTGAAAGTTGTATTTTAGTTGTAAGAGTTACCGTAATCTATTAGATAGACACTTATGTTTCCAAACTGGCTGGTTTTGAATTGCCCAATGTTTTGTTTATTTGAATCAATACAATTGTGACATAGCCCATTATTAATATTAACAATGGCTCTACAGATTTGTCCCATGTGTATTGCGTGCCCAGAGTTCGACGCTAATCGTGAAATTGACAATTTGAAAACTCACTGGACTGCTTTTCATGCGTGGGTTTTTATATACATGCTTTTCTGTTTTTTTTTTGTATCCACCAGTATGGAATGAAACTGAAAGTTTCATAAATGTTTTGATGTTATGTATAGCAATAATTTCAGTAATTTGGAAGCTGCGACATATCGAGCTGAACCAACCAGGACTCTTGCCACAACACGTCGTCCTATGCTGGCGAGGAGAACTGCCCGTCAGCCAGCCGGAGTGGGCGCTAATTGTGGGTTTGAACGTTTCCTTACTCTGTTTGAATTCTTTATAATGCCTTGGTTAATTTATAGTTGGTGGCACGAATGCGCAACCTCCAAATGCAGGCAGTACAGCAGGCGGTGCCGCTCTTGGTTTACCACCTTGGAGTGCAGATATCGCTGATGTAGATGAAATGTTCCGAATGGTTAACCTTACCCGTCACATCCCTACTTTGCCTCACATGCCGATTGCCGCGGAAATGCAACGTATCAGTAATCAGTTATTTCAAGTGAGTTGCATTATTTTTTAATAGATCTCATGGCTAAAAAAAACTCAGTCATACTCTTTTCTTCCAGCCAGTAGCAAATGGTGCGAGTTTTCTACCAGCGCTCAATTCTCTTCGTAACGTTGTAGCGAGGAACAGCGAATACGCGCAGCCTCGAAATTCCAGTTCTGCTAGACAGACTCCTGCGGCAACGGCAAGCCCTAACGCAGTACTCTTTTCCGTTTCGTTCATAGCTCTAAAATGAAGTTAGACTTATTCGTCTTTCAGCCGGTTCCGCAAATCGTGCGACCTCTTCGTGTGATACCTATATATCCGCCTTCTGATTCACAGGTACCGTTTAGGCCGGGCTCTATTTTTTCCTGTTCTCGTTTTGAAGTTTTTACTGTTTTCTACTTTGTTACTTTTTGACTAACATATACAGGTCGCGTCACCGGATGAACTTGAGCCTTTCGAGGAACTGACTGAAGATGACTCCAGCGATGCTGGAGCTTTCGTTGATGAAGTGGATGTCACCCAAGACGATGATGATGAAGAGCATAGGTGAGGTGTTTTTTTTGGAAGTTTTTCATGTGTTAGCAACAGGCATGTCTTCATAAAACATTCATGTTCAATTGTAGGTCGGAGGCGAACGTAGTAACGAACAACGATACCGCGAAATCTCGCCCCTCCGGAGGCGGTAGAAGCACTACCGAAACGCAAGCCGACTCCGACAGCGAGTTCGAGTTTGCTCCTTCCGCCTGCGATGATAGTGAGGTACGATTAAAGCTACGTGTTTGGTTACATTGAGCTCACCGCGCTGTAGTTCGATGAGTTATTCTATGGAAAGAGCCAATCTCGCGAATGTGTAAATAGAAGATCATTATTCAAGCTCCTTGCCTTCTCTCTTGGTTTTTAATAGCGTTGCATTATGTAGGATTCCCCGGAACCTGGGCAGAGTGAGACAGGCGAGACTATTTCGCGGATGGAGAGCGGAAATCCCTCACCTTTCGACCGTCACCTATCAAAAAAGGATGTTTGGAAAGGTAAGTCTGCAGTCTAGTCGAAAAGATGTCGCTATAACCTTTTTGCAATCGGGCCCATTCCCCGAATTCGGCTTATTGAGAAAATATGCAAGTATCAACGAAGAGGAACAGCTAAAATACTGTGCACAAAACGGTTTATGAACATTTGTGCTGAAAAATTGCGAATTCCATCAGTGTGAGATTATGCATCGAGGGTGGCTAAATCAACAACTTTGTTCTACTGTTTTGATACTGTGGCAACAAAAAATCGTGTGGGGAAAATGAAAAGCAGCGTTCATAGTGTAGTTCAGTGTAGTTTTAAGGGGATTTGGTGTTTCGGGCCGAAGATATATTGATTGGTTGACTGACCTCGTTATGAGAACGTCATGGAATGACGAAGCTGTGGAACCGTGAATCGTGGGATTTGTTTCCATTGTATATGTATATAGCTAACGCTGCAAAGAGTAGGGTTTTTGCAGCGCTGCTGTTGTTGCGGTTGCTGGGTCACTGCGGCGAATTTATGATTGGGGAATCAGGAGTAACGATTTCCACCCTTGAAAATTGGGGAAAAGGGGGTCCTGAAAAGAAAAAAGTCTTTAACAAATTTAATCATAGAATAGCTTCTTTCCTAAGGTTGATAAAGTTAAAGATCAGTAGATCACAGTTAAGATTAGGACCAATCCGAAATGCGTCATTGCCCGAGTGAGGGTCACATTTGTGTTTTGTCTTCTTGGCAGCAAGGAAACTTATTCATCCAACATCCATATGGGAATCAGGGAAATGCTTCCGTGCAGTCTGCGTATTCAAAATATCTCAGATTGTATTTGCTCGGACTAGATTATCGCTGGAAGTGTTATGATATGGGAAAGATTTCATGTTAATTTCAGCGCTGCGATCATCTCTCACGTCGGAGGAGTTGGAAACGTTTAACAATGCCCTTAGACGTGAACCTAGCAGAGATGTGGACGAGATTGAGGACAGTCCAGCTGCGGGGATGTCGGGCAGAGAGCGAGAACGAGCAAAAACAGAGGAAGGGCAAGAGTCGCAAAGCTGGTTAAGCCTCATCTATGACGTGCCTCCTCTCTCTACATTTTTGATGGGCAGCTACTGGAATGACAAGCGTTTTCTCAGGCAAAGGTAGTTTATAATATAGCATCCCTCTTGTGAGACGTCACTAAAAATCTTGGTGAAAACAACATTAACGGCAAGTTGATTTCTATGGTCGTTTTGCACAAGGTAAGGAAGTTAAGGGTGGAAGAGTGATTTTCACTTCGAGCTCCATTCTCATAGTTCAATTAAACTAATAGGATGTTTGAAGGGTTTGGGGAAATTATTTCTTTGAACTGTGAAGGCAAGGAGATAGGTCAATACTACAACCGGTCGGTATTTGACGTTGTTGTCGGAAGTAAATAATCATCGATCGACCGTTGCCTTCTGTTCCACCTCTAAGCTGATCTCTTCCACGCTCAGACTTGGAATGAGTAGTAATAACTGATGCACAACAGTTGTTGGGAAAAGTCATTTTTAGTTTTGTGAATTTCAAGGAATGACTCGGGTAGAGGTATACGCTCATCGAATTTTACCGTTCAGGTGACTAGATCCTGTCCCAGCGAGCCGTTTATTATAGCTAGCTGTCACCCCATCAGAAAAAAGGAGATTTAACTGCCTAATCATTATTCACTGATCTATTTAAAAAAGTGTTTGGCTGTTAAAGTAGAAGAACGGCAATAGAGTTTAGTTTCTGAAGAAAAACTTCGCAGTATTTCTATTTTTAAACACGAAGCACTATTGATCGCACTAGTTTCTGTTCAGTTCTTGCTCTATTTATTCTTCGGTAGAGCAAGATTTAGGCTTTTTCTCAGTCAATCTGTACCTTCTACTCATCTTCTGCCGTTTGTTTTCCATTGTTCCATCGAATTCTCAAAAATGCTTTCTCTTTTAAACCAGTCAAATAAAAATTCAGGAAATTGCATCGTGAGATGAGTATGACAAGCGGTACCGAGTCAGTGTTGGAAAAAGCTGACATTGCTTTAGCAATGATTCGTGATATTGGTGCCGTGGCGCCCAAAGGGAGACAGTACTCCAGCCCAGGTAGGTGAAGCTCTTCATACTCCATCTCAAAGTAACTTCTATAGAAATTTGCTGAGGTACTATTTGTACAATGTTCTGACCGTGCCTTCAGTCAGGATATCTTTATCCAATGTATTTAACAATGCCTCATAATTTAAGACTGTTCTTTACGGCGAACATTAGCTCATTTCGATCTGCCAAACATGCCTTGCTGTGAGGGTGAAAGCTCAACCTGCCCGGAATCCGGAAATGCAGAGCAGAACCGACAGGTAGTTAAAATGTAGTTCATTCTTTATGGCATTTGTGGAAAAAGCAGCCGCTTTATTCTAGGATGCTCTTCTTGTTGCATCTCGTCGTCTTGAGTCCGAATCTGAACTTGTTGATGTAAATTCTGGCGGCGATGCGGCTTCAACGGATTCTTCTAATCAGATGCAAGATGGTGCTTCAGCATTGCCAGCGACTTCCTCCCAACCAAGGTATGCGCTCGTATATATCTGAAATCAATATGTTAGATTAGCATAACGTAATAAGTAGATGTGGATTAGTCGTGCATTCTGAACTCGTACAAGTATCGTATTTATCATTCACTGAATGAGTTGTAATGCGGATTTTTTTGAGACGCGTTTGCGCTCTTCTAATAACTGCTGACGAAAATTCCCAACTAATAGTGTCATTCAATCATTCCTCTGGCACTACAACTTCCGTCATATTGGTAGCGTGAAAAGAGGATTATTCCTGTAGAGAGTAGGGTGCGGGGCGGGGAACGGAGCATGGAGCCCTCTCTGTCCCGCACTTCCCGTCCCGCACTTTACTCTCGAAAAAAAAAGGGGGGGGGGATGAAGAAGAACTCTTTCCCTTGACACTACCGCCTTTTCTAGTCTCCTCAGTCTCAGTGTTTGCCAAGTGTTTACCCGAGCCTATCAGTCAAGCCGAAACTGCAGTAAAACTGCAAGATTTGGTGGTTCGCTACATTTTTTGGTATTCCTCCTTCAACGACCCTTTGACGACCCTCCCTTTTACGCGGAAAGCAGGGTGTGGGCTCGAATCGCATCTGAAACTGGACGTTTTCTTCATACTTCATCGTACCTACAGCATGGCTTCCGATGAACATCGAAGCTTATATTCCTATCACTACATAATCCTAACGTATCTCAGTTTTTGAGCTCCAAAAATCCTA